CTCACCCATTTGTACGACATTTGTGATATCGTTGAAGTATTGAAAATAATATGGTGACCGGATGAAAGTTAAATTTGCTGTCAGATGGCACAACCATTCTTGATCCTTGTTCCCGAAAATAACACAATAATTGACGAGCACTGGGGCTGTCATCGAGGCGACACGAGACAAGCAATCAACGATGATGAAATAGCGAATGACAGGCGAGAAGGGAAGACGACGGATTGAGGCAAACGCACAGCCGAATATATTCACCAACCATGCACATAAAAGATGTCTGCAAAGAAAAGGAAATTCTCATGGTTACGCCACTGCGCCTCAGCGGCTCCCCAGTTGGTGGTTGAATTGGTTGAATTTTTTTGAGTTTAGATTTTACAAAAAAATTGACATCAGCTAGTGAATGAGCTTTATGAATTTCTCTTGTTTCAGAGAGACAAATAAAATTGAAAAAAAAATGCATATTTGAGGGTTATCGGACATTTGATACGCGCCCTGCCCCATTTCCTATTAGCAATCTAACTTTGAACTCCAATATCAGCTCCAATATCTTGGTTCTGGGCTGTCAAATTTAAATACCGTATTTTCTTCTAATAGTTGTGCACCCCGGTGAGCCGAGTTGGTGACTATTTTACGGTTTCCAAGCTTTTGCAGAAGCTCAACACTCTAATCCCCCACTAGATTCCATCGTCAGCTACATTTTCCGACCCCACATCGATAGGTTCTGATAAGCGGTTCTCGAGATTTCGAGCAATTTAGGCGAGGCTCATGGTGCAATACTATTAGAGAAAATACGGTATTCTTGGTTTCATTAGATACGCCAAGTCTTTCTCTGTCGATCGTTACAAAAACTATTTAAATTGGAAAGCTTGACACCATGGAATTTGAGCTCAAAGTTAGATTGCCAATGGGAAAATGGCGCAAGGCCTCGCGTATAAAAGGTTCAACAATTCATTTGAGAAAAGCTGTGAACAAGATTCAACAAGTGCCATGCGGCAGTGAAGTAGTGAGGGGGTTGCTTGGGCTAGAATCCCCCACCACTTCAAAGCTAATTATTGTCTTTTAGTTGAGCCCCCTTCTTCCAAAAGCAATACTTGCAATATGACACAAAACGTTTCACTCACCCAGAACCAAGTAGCCGTGAATCTTCGGTACAGATTGCTGTCCCAGGGTGCCGACACCGGATTTAACGCACCCGACCAAATTTGCTGATCGAGCACGAAGGAGCCGAGTTTGGCGACAACAAAAATGGAAACATTGCAATATTTGAGATTTTGAAGATAAGGCTCAGATTAGATTTTTAAGATTTTAAGATTGTATTCTCCACGACTAGTCAATTAAGAGCACAGAAAATCACTTAGACAAGCTGTGAATAAAAACGACAACCATGCTCCCCAGTTAGCTGCTCACTAATTTCGAAGTACCCTCTAGACGGGTATAGTAGAAAAACACACCGAAGAGAACAACGATTAAAATGAGTGGGAAAATAACTTCCAACCATGCTCGATCGAATCGTAAACGCATTTTGCAAACGTAAACAAAAAGGAATAGTTGTATCTGATCAATTTCTGGTCAATAGAAAACCGGAATAGATTTCTGATTGGTCTACTTGAAGACCTCAAATTATGGAACGATGTGCTTTAAAAGTTAAAAATTGTCAGTCTGAGAGTGGAAGCTATAATTTACAGAGCAAGTTTTCCTCTGTAAATTATAGCTTGCATGTAGAAGAGAGAGGGTTTGGATGAAGTTTTAAAAAAGGAAAGGAGAGTGAAAACACAAAGTCTTTCTAGTATTGGGTTGGTAAATTGAAAACTGCGGGACTTTGAACTAAAATTTATTGAACATAAAACCATGAATTGATTCCAAATCATTTCCATTATTATTGACAACTTCTGCCCATTTTACAGGCAATTTGCGAATTCCTCTTTCGTAGTAGGATTTTGGTTTGTGTGTGAGACAAGTGTGAGACTCAAAAATGGAGGACTGGAGATGCCCCAGTTTGAGCACTTTCTTCAAAAGAAATCCATTTTGATGTCAATAGAAAAGTTGTCGAGAATCAAAAATCAAGCTTATATCCAAATTTCCAAAAAGATACACTTAGTAGTTTCGCTTAAAATGCAAGTTTTGTGAAAATTCGTAAATTTGGCATTTCTTGAAAAACAGCTTTTGAATCGTTTTGAAAATTTGGATATAAGCTTGATTTTTGATTCTCTACAACTTTTCCATTGACACCAAAATGGATTTCTTTTGAAGAAAGTGCTCAAACTGGGGCATCTCCAGTCCTCCATTTTTGAGTCTCACACACAAACCAAAATCCTACTACGAAAGAGGAATCCGCAAATTGCCTGTAAAATGGGCAGAAGTCGTCAATAATAATGGAGATTATTTGGAATGAATTCATGGTTTTATGTTGAATAAATTTTAGTTCAAAGTCCCGCAGTTTTCAATTCACCAACCCAATAGAAATTGATTGCTTTCTCATTTTAATACAAAATTTATCAATAAAACAAAAAACAACAAAAAAACAAGTAAAACAATACTTTCAATCGAATCTGACAAAGCAAATGATTTGAAAACAAAAAAGAAACGACGACGCGGCGCTCCCATCAACTACAGTCGAACCTCTCTATAACGAACCTCGATATAACGTAAACCTCTCTATAACGTAAGGCGTGACCGGTCCCGGCCGACGTTAAGCTATATAAAACGGCACTCTATATAACGTAAACCTCTATATAACGTAAGCTATAGCCGTCCCGTGAGTTACGTTATAGAGAGGTTCCACTGTACCTCCAAATGGCGGCGACGTCGATTGGAAGGCGACGTTGCGCGAAAATTAAGCTTTAAAAGGAAAATCTTTTTGGAAATTTGGCTATAAGCCTAATTTTTGATTCTCTACAACTTTTCCATTGACACCAAAATGGGTTTCTTTTGAAGAAAGTGCTCAAACTGTCACATATGACAATAGCACGCAGTTTTCAATTCACCAATCCAATATTTAAAAAATCATAGTCGTTAATAGCAATTTTTCTTCTTTACATCGATCGATTATATCGAAATTTAAAAAATTCAACGCCAGTAAAGTTAAATGGAAAAACAAAAGATGAAAGTGATTCCTTCTGCTATTACTTTCTTTAGTAAAAATGAAACTAAAAAGTTGACTTTCGATAAAAATTAATATTCTAAACTCCTTCAATTACAGACTTTCTTAATTTTTTGAATGTTCAATGTCGAAGATCTCAAAAGTATTCTCTACATTTAACAAACTTTTCTATTCTTTCTGATTTCCAGCAATTAAAATGCTAACGATCAAATTTTTAAAGTGATAAATAAATATTTTCTTATTCCGAGTACAAAGATTCAAGCGTTTTCTTTTGTTTTCCAGCCAATTATCACACTTGTTGTCATGAAAGGTTTATTTGAAATAAAATCTGATCTTTTTTCCAAGAATAGCTCAACTACTTTATTTTGAAAATCGCAAGCAGTAATTAACTTTTTCTGTACAAGTCATTCTTTCCGGCAATAAACAGTTTAGCCGACAATTATAGAGATTTTTATAAAAAGCAAAGTTTAAAATACTCTTATATCTTTTCTTCTGTATTTTTTAGCAATTCAGCAAGAAATTTCCTTGAAGTTCAATCAAGTTGAATCATCAATTTCTTTTTTTAAATAGGTTTAATCAATTTCATCACTTTTCCTCACCAACTTTAGCCATGTTTTGCCCGACCGACAATGAACTGACGATCATTGAAATTTTCTATAAAATCTCGTTTGGAGTGGGTGCCACCCTTTCTCTCCTTACTCTATTCACAATGTTCAAAGTGAAATCGCCAGCCTCGAAACTCTATCGAAACATTCAAATCGGAAGTGTGGTTGGATTTACGGGGAAATTGAAATCTAGAAATTTAGGAGCCAGATTTTCTTTATCAATTTATGAATCTCTTTTCCAGATCTTCTCCCAATGCATGGATTTGGGTATTTTCCTATCGGAGCCAATCTATCTTTTGCCCTTGCCCGCGTGCAGTTTTGGCGACGCTTTTGGTTTACCTTCACACTTCAAGGCACAGCTCATAGTAATATCCGTTTTCCCTGATTTTTCTACACCAATTCTAGAAATACTACTTAAATTTTGCTGTCATGGTTTTGGAAACACTTCTGTTTTCTCTATTGTATAAATTGCAGGCTGTCGGCTATTCTCGTGAAGCGCCAAAGCTATTTTTCTTGCACTGCTTTGCCGCTGGAGCAATTCCAGTTTGCTATTTCGTTTTCAGCTTTTTCATCTTGAATGAATATGAAATTGTCGATTCTATTGAATCCATTCTGTCGACTTCAAACATAAGTGGGTAAATTCTTAAGAATTTTCGCTGAGAACTCAATTTTAACCATTTTCAAAGCCTAGTTTAGAAGCCAACTCAACTTGTCAGTCGTATCAACGACCAATCGTCTTCTATCTTCGACAAAAGGATTCCAAATTGTCTTTCCCAGTTTTGATCTTGGTTTGATTTTAAGTTTTTTTTTTGGGAGAAATGTTTTGAGATTTCCGTTGGCACATCTTGGTTGTTTTATATTATTTGGTTGACTTTTCACTATGCAAATTCAGTGAAAAAGACTGTCAGTCAACAAACGAAAGAAATGATTCAATATCTGCAAATTGTTTTCTTTTTGCAGGTTATAGAAGTAGATTACTTTTCGATCTTCAATCTTTTTCAGTCCTTTGCTCTGCTCACCTTTTTGATTCTGCCATCAGTGCTGGGGACGTTTAGTGTGTCGAATTTGCTTCCGATTGAAAACGTTTGTGAGTTGAGTAATTCTCAAATCATTGGCATAAAACTTATAGTTCTCTCTTCACTCACTTTGTTTCAAAGTTTACATTCGTCTTTCAATTGTCTCATTTTGATCTCAGCTACAAGAGTCTATCGGGAATATGTGATTGAAAAGATATGTGGAAAAGGTAAAATGATAATCGTGGCCAATTTTATGACTACAGCCTACTTTTAGACAAATTTCCGAAAATTCGTGCCTGATGTACACCTCTAAAATGAAATGAAATGTTGATTTATCAATTAAATTTATTGATCCCTACTTTTGTTTAAAAAGAAAAAAACCAAGAAAAAAGAAATACACGACTGGATTGATTGATTGATGACTGAATTCTTTCCTCATTTATCGTGATTTTACCGAAGCGAAAGTCACAACTCACTTTATTTCAACGATTTTTAATTTCCGTTAGATAAACGTTTCATTCAGTTGAGTCCAAACGAGTTTCTTTCTTTCCTTTCAACGATGCGAGAAGGCTTTGGGGAAGTATCAATATGACCATAGTTGGGTCAATCACAAGCTCCAGTTCGGCGACCCTAATGATCCAACCATGCATACACAAAAAGTATAATGAAATCTTCGAAACTTAAGCTCGATATTTACAAGTGGGAGCGACGTGGGGCGCGATGAAAGCTTCAATATGTCTAGGAGAGCAACAGAGAAGGGTCAGCTCTTTCAACATTTGCGTGGAACAAGAAAAGATCGACTTCCGACTTATTTATTTGAATATATGTTTAGGAGAGCAACAGAGAAGAGCCAACTCTTTCAACATTTGTTGGTTCGCATGGAGGCTTCTTACCCCCTCCCTAGGATTTTTTCTTTAAATTCTGATTAAATGTGGAACTTAATAAAATAAGTTATAACAATTTTAAAAGATTTTTTGGTAAAAAAACAAATGATTGCAAATGACCACGATTCAGGGAAAGAGCCAGAAATTCATTCTAAAAGCAAGCCCTTATCAACTCTTAATTTCAATAGGTTTCAATTTCTCCGTAAATCCAACCACACTTTCGATTTGAATGTTTCGATAGAGTTTTGAAACCGGCGATTTCACTTTGAACATTGTGAATAGAGTGAGGAGAGAAAGAGTGACAGCCATTCCAAACGAGAATTTATATAAAATTCCAATGATGATCAATTCGTTATCGGTCGGGCAAAACATGGCTGAAGTTGGTGAGGAAATGGTGAGGAATATAATTGATTTGATTTCAGGAAAATTTCCTGCTAAATTAGCCGGAAATTTTCAAGAGTTTATAAAAGCTTTTTGAATTGTTTTTCTTTCAAAAATCTCTATAATTCTTGGCCAAATCGTTTGTTGTCGGAAAGAATGACTTGTACAGAAAAAAAACGAATTACTGCTTGCGATTTTCAAAATAGAGTAGTTGAGTTTTTTTGGAAAGACTAAATTTTATTTCAAATAAACTTTCGATAAAAACAAGT